GGAGGGCTCTGTGTCAGAGGCAGAGAGGGGGCCAGAGCAATATGCCAGTTATCAGCTGCCTTCGGAGTCAGACATCAGTGAGGCAGAAGAGCGGCTGGAGCCTGTTCCCAGTGTGCGCATGTGCAGAGTTGCCAGACAGAGGGAAGAGCTAAGCAACAAGGGTCGACTTGGGAGTACGGCCACAGGTGGACAGTGAATGGCCCCTCCCATAGGTAATAAAAGATGAGCAAAAGGGGAGCGGAGTTTGCAGGAGACAATTAGTTCATTCCTGCATTCTTGCCAAGTATTGCGGCGTCTGAAAGATATCGGCCTGGCCACTCTCTAAGCCCAAGAAAGGTCAGTAATTGTCAACTGTCTTGAAAGACTGTGGGAGAGGAAAGACTTTGCTGGAGAGGAATTCACTGTCAATTTAATAAAAGGGTCTTATTGGGAAGAGGACTCGGCTTCATGCTGCTGGGGTAGCCTAGGTCAGAACAGGGCCCAAACTCAGAAAGGTCGCTTAGGGTAAGAAGGTGCAGGTGGAGCGGTGCAGAGACAAAGGATGACCTTGGCTTTCTACAAAGAATGTTGTTATGGCTTCATAGCATCTAACTCCATACAATCCCATTTTCCCACAATAGAAAATGCGTAGTGGAATAACAGAAAGTGTGGCAGGCCAAAGATCCAAAAGAAAAGATGTAGACTTACTTGTCCTGCCCTTCTTGGGGTTGCTGCGATGAGATCTGCCCAGCCTCTGCATCTCCTCCTGGGACTGTGCTTCCTTGGGGTCTCTCCGAGGGAACTGCCCCGGACGTTGGGTTTTGACCTTGAGGTAGGCCTCCACTGAACCCTGAAGAGGAGGTAGTACTTGTCTGGCTAATACTGGAGGAGGAAGAGGAGGAGGAGGAGGAGGCCAGGAGCTGGGGCACGGAAGAGCCTGGGGCTGTACTGGTGCCCAACGGGAGACCAGTGGTCCCATTAGCTGAGGAGCTGAAAGATGTGCCAGCCGAGGGAGCCGTCGGCCCAAGACAGGCCGAGTTGGAGGAAACGGATCCTGCGTTCCCAGATATGGTTTGTTCCGTGTTGGATGATGATGGAGGCTGGTGTTTCGGTGGCGTCAGCAGACTGCTATCGAGTTGTAAAGTAGCTAAGTAAGGTGCTGAAAGGACAAAGGGGAAGGGTAAAGGATGTAAAAGAAGACTTCCCGCTGAAGCACACCAGACAATCCATTATTTTCAAAAGAGGGTGTAGAAAGGGAATGTTTGGGTACCGCATTTTTCAGAGCACAAGATACACCAAAGTTTTGAAGAGGCAAATTAAAAAAAAAAAAGTTTTTGCACTCTGCAAACCTCCCCAAAACGGCCCGTTTTCCATGAAAACTGGGCTGTTTTTTTTTTAAAAAAAGGGCATCAATAGCCTCCTAACGGGGAAGGGGGGGGCAAAATTGAGCAAAAAAAGGCTCATTTTTTGCTCATTTCTGCCCCCCCAGCCCCCAGGAGCACTCTGAAAGCCTCCTAAAGGCTATGGATGGCCATTTTGGTGAAGGGGGCGGGGTTTTGGGAGGCCAAAAATGCTGTATTCAATGTATAAGATGCACCCAGATTTTCAGCCTCTTTTTTTTGAGGGGGAAAAAGGTGCGTCTTATACTCTGAAAAATACGGTAATTATATGACTATATATTTATATCATTAATATTATTGTGATGCATATAACAACAAATATGTGGATTACGATTGTTCAAATAACCGTACCGAGATCGCACATTGCTTGATGGAAATGGAAAGTAATATAAACAAAACAAAACATGGGAAAAATATTTAATAATGAAATAAAACAAGCTGAAGGAATAAGCGAACCATGAAGGAGCAACTGAATCCTGCTGCTCGCCCATCTTACCTAGGTGGTGACGACAAACTTGGGCATAAAGTTTGAGCCTGGAATGATTGTCACAGTCTTCGTTGCCCCAGGGTGGGTTGAACCAGTCGCTCACAAGCTCGTCTGCCAGCTTCTGGGCCACCGTCTTCCCCACACGCATGATCCCATCATGCAACACTTTAGAGATTGGTTTGTGTTGACCAAGCCGACACATCTAACGGCACAAGGAGGAAAACAGGCATGTCAGAGGCGGGGGTGGCTGTACAACAGAGCAATTAGCCAACTGTGCACCCCACGGACTGAGTATAAAAACACAATTCTCTCTTTCCCTCTGGCAATGGACAATGCATTGCTTACCTGCAGAAAGAAAGAAAGAAAGAAAGAAAGAAAGAAAGAAAGAAAGAAAGAAAGAAAGAAAGAAAGAAAGAAAGAAAGAAAGAAAGAAAGAAAGAA